TAATGCGGAGTCTCTCCATGGAATTTTAAATAGCCCCAAGGTTTATTTAAAAGGGATCTTTCAGACTGTGACACCTTGAAAACAATTCTACACCCCCACACACACACACACCTTGCTGCAGGATTTCTACAGCTAATCACATGTGCAAACCTATCCCACTGGTGGTCGGTGGACGCTCACCTGCCCTTGTGGGATCCCTTCCTCTTCCATCCGGGCTTGGCCTGCGTCTTGATTTAACCAAGGAAGTGTAAGGAAGTAACACCATGCAAACTCTGAATCTAAGCTTTAAAAAGGCCTGGCAGCCCCTATTCTTCACCTGAGTGAGTCCTAAAGTGCCATGCAGGGTGTCAGTCACAGCTGGTGAGGATTTCTGGAGAAGCCCTAGAGCCCCACAGGCAGAGGGGAGACCCCTTTTTCCAGGGTCCCTTCCAAAGTACGAGACACATGAATAAAACCATTGTGGACTGTCCAGTATTGGTCACCATCAGACCACAATCACATGTCAGACCACAAACAAGAGCATAAGAAAAACTCTCCAGGTAAATTCTGGCCAGCCCATAGAATAAAGAGAATTTCTTATTTAAAAAAAAATAGCTATTGTCCTTGCCAGGAGATCATTTCTGAAGATGCAGCATGATGAGTTGCATGATTCTAACTATAGCAACGTTATCTTTCCATGCTCGTCAGTCCACACTATTTCCATCAGTCCTCTTCCCTGACTCAGAATCACTCCTAGAGAACATGGCACTGCTAACTGAGTTTCTGCATCCCTGCAGAAATTCTTTAAATCAGAATGGAGTTGGAGCCAAGGGCATAAGTGGACCAGAGGATCCTAATAGGAAATGATGTGTAAAAGAGTTAGAAATCCAAACTCATTACTGTGGCTGCCGACGCTGTACTGCCTTCTCCTGCTGGCGGACATACGGCACGTGTTCTTCAAAGCTAACTTGCCAACAGAAGGTCAAAACGCCATGCCTCAGTACAAGACTTACAAATTTGGGATCATAAGTATGATGTCATGTCTTAAAATGATAAGCTGGGCCAATGAAAGAAATGGCATTTTGCAAAGAACATGCACCGTTCTCATGTTTACGCTACTTAAGATGAAGGTGCTAGTAAGTCATGGGCTATGTTGCTTTAAAGGGAAGTTTTATAACTGAGATGAATCACAACTGCACAAGATCAAAGTTGAAAAACATCAATGATGCCATGGGGTACTTTTTAATCTTGTAATGAGTGATGATCATGTGCTCTTATGAAGTGAGTCCAAACTGCCAACGCCAGATGTGTATATTAAGAAAAGGGAGTTGTTGGTGATGTGACAGTCCTGGCTTAGCTGCCAGAGACAAAAAAAAAAAAAAAAAAAAAAAAAAAAAAAAAAAAAAAAAAAAACGGAAGGATGAACCCTTTCAGTTTTGATTGAAAAGCAAGTCTTGGCAGATGTGTTGATAAGTAGGACCTTGGAGTGGGATTGGGATATCACACAACACCCTGCCTGGGAGTTTGTAGCACACAAGTGTTGCCAACCAGTTTTGCACAGTTCTCCCCGGGCAGTGTGATATAAATATCTGCTCAAAGCACAATTTATAACATGGATCAGTGTCATTTACTATTGTGCAAAAATTAGTAAAGCTTTATTCAGGGGGAAAAACAACACCGTAGAGAGCAGATTACATAGCACCTGTTTCTTGAACACACACATAAAAAGTCTGCACAAGGTTCTAACAGTGCAGCAATAACTAAATTTAATGATCACTTACTACATGACAGCTACCATACTACTAGTTTATATACCATGTATCGCTTAACATTCTTACAGCAAATAATAGGAAAGGTAGTGTTTTCATTAGTCTTTAAAAGATAAGAAAAACAAGGCAAAGAACCGTTAGGGAACATGTCTGTCTAAGAAACCTAAGAAACGCTGGCTTTAGGATTTCAGTCCAAGCAGTGTGACAGACCCTAACAGTGAACTCATAATGTGTCCTAACCTAGTCATCTGGACCACAGGAAACAATGGTTTCAGTCACTATGCAGGTCTTTAAGGGAAGGGCAAGGAATCCCACAGATAAACAGGAACGATACACCAAGTCCTTCACGCTTTCAAGTCCCTTGAGTAACAAACAGAAATATGCAACTTTGATCACGATTGCTTCAGGAATCACAATGGGTGGGAAGAATGACTAAATCAATTGTATTGATTATATTGTCGCTCTGTGTAGGGAAGCCTTTTACTAAAACCTCTCTCTATTGAAGGTTGATCAAATAAGCCACTTTGAAATCTAGAGCATGGATGGAAAACTATAATTTATGGGCCACATCTGGCCCATCCCTTGTTTTTATAAAGCTTAGGGGTTTTAAAAAGATATCTTTACTATTATTTATGTGTATATGTGTGCCTACATGAGTTTATGTGCACCATGTGAATGCAAGGGCTTACAGAAACCAAAAGGGTTCAGGTCTTCTGAAACTATAGTTACAGGCAGTTGTGAGTCACCTAATATGAATGTTGAGAACCCAACCAGGGTTCTCTAGAAGAGCAGTTGCACTCTTAATTGATGAGCCCTGTAAATAATGTTTTATTTAAATACAGCTGTGGCTACTTGTTTGCATATTGGCTTAGACTGCCTTTGCAGTAAAATGGCTAAGTTGAGTCCTTGTGACATAGCTGAGTCCTTATGATGGATGACCAAGAGCAAGGTAGAAGGATAGAACCCAGGAGTGTCCAAACTAAAGTTTCACTTGTTACTGATACCAGATACATCCCTACATTCAGGCAAGTAACCATGCAGTGGTCATCACATTTATAGGACATATTTTATAAGAAATGCTAGCCGGACGTGGTAGTGCATGCCTTTAATCCCAGCACTTGGGAGACAGAGTCAGGCGGATCTTTGTGAGTTCCAGGCCATCCTGGTCTACAGAGTGAGTTCCAAGACAGCCAGGACTGCTACACATAAAAACCCTGTTTTGTAAAACCAGGGAGGGGGGTGGCGGGAGGAGAGAAAAAGAAATGCTACAAGGATAGGCAGTCTTGCACTCCTAGATCTGTTTCTGCTTCCTGCCCTCCCTCAGGACTACCCAAAGCACAAACTCAGATCACACATACAGCATGCATCCTCTATTCCAAACCCCCACAGCCTTCAGGGCACTTGTCTGTCTTCACAGGCCAGTAGATCTATCAGCTAATTCATGCTGCCCCCAATCTCTTTGAAATGAGAAACTAGCATCCACATTGGAATCAGAAGTAGCTTCCCCAAAGCTGCCAGCCTGCTCACCTTTCACCATCTCTTTTAAATGGGGCCTCCCCTCTAACCACTGACTCAAGAACACCCGCCTCCACTATAAATACTTATACACACACACACACACACACACACACACACACACACACACACCAGCAGCTTCTCCGTGTACTGAAGAAAGCCACTGGGATGAGCAGGAACCGTGTTTCAAAGACAAATATTAGTGGTGTTGAATAAATATTAAAAGGCTATTTGCTGCCTTATGCACCAGGGAAATGGGACTGCCTCGTCAACAACTCTAGGGCTTGTCAGGGAAATAGTTGGACAATGTCTTGCCTCCAAAGGAAATCAACCCCAATTTATGGCAATCCAGAAAAGACTAGCAAAGCCCTAGCCAGCCAAGACATCTTTGTTCTGCTCTCTTCACCTGTGCTGCATGACCTCTGACCCTTGAGACTTAAGATTTGGGGGCTTCTCACACATGCCACACATGAACCAAACCATTTAATAGGACATTCCAAAACTGGACAGGGCCAGCACTGACCCAACATTAGGAATTTGGAGGAAGATGATACACATGAAAGGAGGTGCAAACAAACCTCAAAGACTGCTTTTGGGAGCAGGAAACCAACCTTTCTTGCTCAGGCAAGAAGTCAGCTTTTGTGGAGAAGACGGAGGCAGAAAGGACAGGGGCTACTGTATGAACCCATTGCTAAAAGATATGAAGCAGGAAGAGGCTTTGCTTCTCTAGACCTCCTCTCTTACTCCAGGGGAAGGAAAGAGCCCACCCTCACTGTCTGGGTGGGGGCATCATCTTAGAACTTCTATCTGCTGTCCATCCTAACCTAAGCCAAATTTAACTTCTTATAAGCAATGCCTCAGACTCTGAAATATTCAGCCAGCAAAAGGCAGAGCTGTCTATGATATTTATATCATATTATATGGCGCAGAACTCTTCACACTTCAAATGAGCTTTACTCTGTAAATGTATCTTAATGCTGCTGCCAAGCTTGCTCAAATCATGTTGGGTGGCAGGAGCACGGGGGAAGCCAGTCAGATCTGCCACAGATTCAGGAAGAGAATCAATATTGGCCCAGACAGAGTAAGTACACTACCTTCAACTGACTACTGGATAGGCAGACAAAGAAACAAACATGAACTTAAACCTAGTTAGTGTCTCTCTGTTAAAAAGGAACTATCTAGAACACTTAGTAGAAAACGACCATACAACAGTGTTGTAACAATGAACAAGTTATCATTTGCGAATAAAGTCTTTGTAATTAAGCCCTGTGCTCTTTATAAAGGGAATTGAGTGGGCGAACTAAAATGCATTCTTGGGCCATGGGAAACACACACAAATGCTTTTTGACTAAGTTTAAGATTTTTAAGTTTATAATTTCCTTCCTCAGCCTCGTGGGTCCCTTTGGCCCTGCCCACCTGGCAGGATGATGGATAAGCAGAGTTTCTTAGCTAAAAGTAACCATAATGAGTAGCTATCTGCTTGTTCCCCAAAGTTACAAAGCCTTAAGCAAATCTGTGATAAAGGTTTAGCTGTAATTTTGTTTTCTACTAACTGTAAAGTTCTATTAACAGTCCTTCCCTAAAATATATATATATATATATATATATATATATATATATAGACAG